ATAAAAGAGTTTAACATTTTTTATTTGGGGGGAAAAAGAATCTGAAACATGAATTTAATTCAGAAATTAAATTAGTTTTTTAATTACACTAGTTTTTTAAGGATATTTGATATTTACAACAAATTATGTAATAACCTTGTCATGTTTCAGTAGAATGGTTGTCCTTGGAATCTGTGCTACTGAATTTAATAGTTTGTTAAGATTTTATTGCTGCAGAAAGTCTATGTTGCTTTGGGACTTAAATAGAAAAACAACCTTAGACAATGGCCCAAGGTAGACCTAACAAATACCAAATATTATGCTACCCCATAGTGAAATTCCAAGTATTCACATTTAAATGAAATAACTTTGGTAAATTGGAAATGCTTAAAGTGATTACTTGTTTCTTACTGTTACCTGGTTATCTAATTTATGTCATACTTTTTAAATGATTTTTTCTTACTGTATATAATTTTGTTACCTAGTGAGATAAATTATTAATGCCCTTTAATGCTGCTTACTAAATGCTTTGAAATGTAAATGATCAATATTTTTATTCTTTCTCAAACTATTCCTTTAGTAGTTAGGTTAATCCTATAAAATCTTTTAAAAAGTTTCTAGGGTAAATAAATTTTCTTCTCTTCTAAAGAGTATAAAAATAAAGTCTAGCCCTCTGGTGTAGCTAAGTGGTTGAGTGTCAACCTATGAACCAGGAGGTCAAGGTTTGATTGCTGGTCAGGGCACATGCCCAGGTTGTGGGCTCAATGCCTGGTAGGGGGAATTCAGGAGGCAACTGATCAATGTTTCTCATCATGGATGTTTCTGTCTCCTTTTCTCCCTTCCTCTCTGAAATCAATAAATATATATTTAAAAAAATAAAGTTGAGTCTGGAGTCAAAGAGTTTAGTTCCCAGCTTGAGCCTAGGGCAAGCTCATTTAACCACTCTTAACCATAGTTCTTGTTTAAAATGGGGATAATAACAACTCACCTTATTATACGGTTGTTCTGAGGCTTAAGTGAGATAATGTATGAAAAAGCATTAGCAAGTTGCTTGGTGCATAGTCAGTGCTCAATAAATATAGCTGTTGTATAGGTAAATGTGTGACTGTTTAAAAATTCAAAGGAATCTAACAGATGAGTTGAAGAAGAAAGAGCAAAATTTAATAGAAGTCTTGGATCTTGGTCTGAGTAATCTACCAGTACCCTGTGGAAAACTCATTGATTCTTAGTCTAAGCTCTTTGAGATTATCTAGTTCAGGGTAAGAAAGAATATTTGGATATATTTTGGTTTAGATAGGATTTATTTTGATCTGTAAGTTCCTACTAGAGTAGAGGCTAAGTGAACAGAAAAACACTCCATCTGTTTTAGAATCTTCCTAACCAGGTTAATCTGAACTCAGGCCAGCACTAGCATTATACCATCCTTTCCTAATGTCTACTCTCAAGAACCAAACTAACCTCCAGCAGTGTTCTAAAATAAATGGAATTTCCTATAATTTAAGTTTGAATTGTGAAGAAGTTTTATAAAATATTAATGTATTGTTTATATACATAGAATTTTCATACTGTTCATTTTGTAGACTTAACATTTACATTTTCCTTGAAAAAAATGATATTGACAGTTTGGTTGAATGCTAAATTTGAAACCTGCCCTCCCTGTCTCCAAAATGGCCACTGGAGTAACAAGTAAAGAGAAAGAACTACTTGTATACACACTCCTTTTGTCTACTAGATTTCAAGATTGAGGCCCTGTTCTTTTAGGGTAATGTAGTGATTTAGGTGACAGTTTGAGAATAGTTAGATGGATACAGAAGGATTAAAAGGCAGCTTTCCCTTCTCACTTCTATTTATTTTATTTTTTTATGGATTAGGGTATTAACAGTGTCCATTGGTCTCCTACCAAACTTGTTAACTAACTGCCATAATGAATTGGTTTATAATAGTGAATACTCTATAGCAAATAGCACTCTTTCAGGTATCATCATATATAATAATCATATATAATAAAGAGCTAATATGCAAATTAACCCTCACGTCCTTACAAGATGGCTGCTTACGACCAGGCCGGCAGGGGGGTTAGCGAGGGACAACCAAACAACTGAACAAGGAGGCTGCGTGGGGCAACCAGGCCCGCAGTGGGGGCGGGTGGGGGCAACCAAGCCAGCAGGGGGGGGCAGTTAGGGGTGATCAGGCTGGTGTCTGGATTGTGAGAGGGATGTCCAACTGGCGGTTTAGGCCCTATCTCCAGGATCGGGCCAAACTCGAGGAGTCCCGGATTGGAGATGGTGCAGGCTGGGCTGAGGGGACCCCCAATGCATGAATTTTGTGCACCAGGCCTCTAGTCTATATATAGAAAAGCCTAAGCCACTGAACGACCATTCGCTATGAAGCGCATTGACCACCAGGGGGCAGGCGCTCAGCGTAGAAGCTCCCCCCTAGTGGTCAGTGTGCTCCCACAGTCAGCCTCACGGCTGGCAAGCACAGCTGCGGCAGCGCAACCCTCTCGCCTCCGTAGCAGCATGGCCAGGATGAGCGGGAGCAGCGCCCAGCCTGGGCTTGGGCTCCTCCCTGGCCATCTGCCGCTTCACGCACTACTACATCCCCCAGGGATCCCAGATTGTGACAGGGCGCAGGCCAGGCTGAGGGACCCCACTGGTGCACAGGTATGTGCACCGGGGCTCTAGTTACTTTATAGAAAGTGATCGTTGTATGGAAAAAGGTTTGTACTGGATTCTTACAGATAATTTGTTATAATCTGGTCCACAAACTTTATTAAATTGTTTACTGAGGGAGGCATAATTTAACAGAAATCATGAAGGAAAATTTCACACTTTCACAAGGGAAGTAGAAGCTGATGTTTACCATGGTGCCCAAGTTATTTAAACCCTTTTTTCCTTACAGATTAATTTAGAATATAATACATTTTGGAATCCATATGTATAATTTTTGTGTGTGTTAATCCTCACCTGAGGATGTTTTTTCCATTGATTTTTAGACAGAGTAGTAAGGAGAGGGAGAGAGAGAGAGAAACATTGATGTGAGAGAGGCATATCAATTGGTTGCCTCCAGCACACATCCTGATGGGCTGGAGATCAAGCCTGTAACTGAGGTACATGCCCTTGACCAGAATCAAACCCAGGACCTTTCAGTCTGCAGGCCGACACTCTCTACTGAGCCAAACCAGCGAGGGCCATACATATAATATTTTATCAAAAGAAATCTTTGTGTGAAAATAGTTTGTTGTATCCCCCACAATCAGGTGTCAAAGGAGGCTTTATTTCTTACTAGAGGGCCAGTGAACAAGATTCGTGCACTGGGAAGGGGGCATCCCTCAGCCCGGCCTGCGCCCTTTCGCAGTCTGGGACCCCTCGCTCCTTACTGCCCACATGCAGTGGAGGCAGGAGAGGCTCCCGCCACCACCGCTGCACTCGCCAGCTGTGAGCCTGGTTTCTGGGTGAGCAGTGCTTCCCCTGTGGAAGTGCACTGACCACCAGGGGGCAGCTCCTGTGTTGAGCATCTGCCCCCTGGTGGTTAGTGTGCATGATAGTGACCAGTCATTCTGCAGTTTGGTTGAGTTGCATATTACGCTTTTATTATTTAGGATAAGATGAGGAAGTTTAGGAACTTTTATGCTTGTAATACATACTTTATAATACATTAAGCTTGTCATTTTAAATTCACCTAATTTAACATATGAGCTAGCACTTTTTATGTTTGTTTACTTTTTACTTTAATTTTAATTTTTAAAAATACTGGTCTCGCCAGAAGTAGAAAAATAATACATAGGTTCCCATTTACCCTTTACTCATCTTCTTCCAATGGTGATACCGTTATAACTAAGTTACCATGAGCTGTTGTCCTATATAATCAAAGGGTAATATGCAAATTGACCAAACAGCAGAATGACCGGTTGCTATGGTGTGCACTGACCACCAGAGGGCAGACGCTCAACACAGGAGCTGCCCCCTAGTGGTCAGTGCGCCAATCAGTCACAAGCGGGGCTGATGGCTAGCAAGCGCAACAGCGGTGGCAGGAGCCTCTCCCGCCTCCGCAGTAGCACTAAGGATGTCCGACTGCGGCTTAGGCCTGCTCCCCATGGGGCCTAAGACATCAGTTGGACATCCCCCAGGAACTCCCGGACTGCTAAAGGGTGCAGGATGGGCTGGGGGACACCCCCCTTCACCAGTGCACAAATGTCATGCATCAGGCCTCTAGTAATATCGTAACCAGGAAATTAATATTGGTGCATTGCTATTAAGTAGAGTACAGACTTCATTCAGTTGTTACCATTTTTTCTACGTACATTTGTGTGTGCGTGTGTATAATTCTATGTAGTTTTAACCCACATATAGATTTGTGTAAACACCATCCCAATGAAGATACAAACTGTTCCATTACCATATATATGCTATGCCAATACATTCACACACACATACCCGCACTTGGCAGCTGCTAATCTATTCTCCAGCTGTGTAGTTTTTTTTATTTTGTGAATGCTATAGAAGTTATTCCATTTATACATTATACAGTATTGTAAACTTTGGTAATTGCCTTTTTGCATTCAGCATAATTTTTTGGAGATTCATTCAGGTTGTTGAATGTAGCAGTGGTTAGTCCCTTTTTTATTGCTGAGTAGTATTCCATAGTAAGGATGTGCCAGAATTGGCTTAGAAAACCATTCATTGCTGAAAGACATTTGTATTATTTTCAATTTTTTGCTACTATGAGTAATAGTTACTATGAGCTGTTATGAATATTTATGTGTAGTTTTTTTGTATAAACATATGTTTTAATAATTTTGTGGAAAATTCCCTAGAGCCAAGTGTTGGGTTGTATGGTAAGTACATGTTTAGTTTTATAAGAAAAATAAGCCAAACTATTTTCCAGAGTGTCTGCTACATTTTACATTCCCACCAGCAAAATATGAGATATCAACTTTCTCCACATCCTCACTAACCTGTGCTGTTATTTGTTTTTTTATTTCAATTGTTCTAATTGGTGTGTAGTGATATCTCACTGTGACTTTATGTTTTACTTGAAAATAAAATACATCATTTTTAAGGTTCTAATTTAGATTTTGCGAACATTGTTTTCACCCCCTTCCTGATTGGTGATGGTTTTTATTACATTCTAATTATCAGTGTGTTTTTTTTTTAATGATAGTTTGGCCAGGACTATTTCTTACTTAAAATATTTTATGTCATCTAACATATTAAGTACAGTTCTTTTAACTATTAATATAACTACTTTTTGAATAATTGTTTATATTATAGTGGCTGGAATGGCTGGTACTGCGCATATCGATGGAGACCATATTGTTGTTTCAGTTCCTGAGGCTGTATTAGTTTCTGATGTTGTCACAGATGATGGGATAACTCTTGATCATGGCCTTGCAGCTGAAGTTGTTCATGGGCCTGATATCATCACTGAGACCGATGTAGTAACAGAAGGTGTAATTGTTCCTGAAGCTGTACTTGAAGCTGATGTCGCTATTGAAGAGGATATAGAGGAAGATGATAGTGATCACATCTTGACTTCTGAGCTAATTACAGAAGCCGTTAGAGTACCTGAGCAGGTTTTTGTGGCTGACATTGTTACTGGTCCTGATGGACACTTAGAACATGTGGTCCAAGATTGTGTTTCAGGAGTTGACTCTCCCACAATGGTATCGGAGGAGGTTCTTGTAACTAATTCAGATTCAGAAACTGTGATTCAAACAGCTGGTGGTGTTCCTGGATCTACAGTTACTATTAAAACTGAAGATGATGATGATGAGGAGGAGGAGGATGTCAAGAGCACTTCTGAAGACTACTTAATGATATCATGTAAGTGGAACATAAAGTTCATAAGTACTTGAGAGATTGATTTATATATAACCTGGAAAGTTTTTGTGAGATGAGGGATTTACTCAATAAAAATCATGGGGGTAATTTTTTTAAAAAGAAAATTTTCAAAACTATCGTTGACATGCTTTTTTGAATTTGCTCATATTTTTAATTTACTGAATGAATATTCATATCCAAAATAAAATAACATAATTTAGTAATATCTTAGAACAGAAATATAGATTTGGAAAGTACAGCAAGAACATTAACTGATACAGAATTTTAATGGTAAATGTATATATTTTAAAATGGGAAATTTATTTTAGATAGCCATTGCTTTACTTTTAATATGGCAGGTATTGGAGTTGTTCAGTTTTGCTTAGGAATTTAAGCATAATATGTTCAAAAATGTATAATTAGTTTTTATGCAACACTTGAAAAGTAAATTATAAACTCAGATTGTGTTCTACAATTTTCCCTGTGTGTTTTTTTCTGTTTGTGTAAATATGTGTGTTTATTTCAGACTGCTTTACGATGTCCTTAAGACACTCTATCTGGAGGAGGAAGATAGAAATATCTTGTTCTCATTCTAAGTGGTGCGTTTGCCTGAATAGCAACAATAATAAAAATCTAATGATAAGTTATAGATGGAGCTAGAGATAGAAGTGGGTCTATACATTATAAATTTGAAGGGATCATGCTGGAAGTAGTAAAGCTTAGGTAAAGACTTCACTTTTCCATAGAGGATTTTTGTTCTTTTCTTCATAAAATTACAAAATGGTTGATTCGGAGCTAGAGTATATGTATGTATGTAAGTATGTATACAGTGATTATTATATGTGTGTATCAGTGAATTTAAAATGAAAAAAATTAGATTACTTTAATTTTAAATATGATTATGAAGTCTAGTGTGTTAACTTTTTTCTCTATGCAATTTTGAATATTTACATTGTTTTTAAGGGAATGATTCAAGCTACTAAAAGACTGTAAATGTTACTATCTCTTTTTAAACTAATGTGGATTACTAAAGCAACTCCATATTTACATTTAACCTTACATAAAAAAACAACCTACAGTTATGTTTGTATAACATGGTATGGCAAAGTCAGTAGTCTTTCTGTACCAACACAAATTCATTATGCCTTTAAAATGGGTACTTGTCAAATTAAACTCTTTAGTGTTAACATGGTCTAAAATTTAAATATATGTAATGTAAATAGTCATCCCTTAACATATCATCTATAATTTGATTCTATAAAAGGGTCTTTTTAAGTTTCTAGAATATTTTAGTTTCTATTATTTATGTTGATATTATATTGACAAATGCAGAGAATTTCTGTCCTACTCTAAGTAGGCTGAAAATTATTTATTTTTAAAAGTATATTGCTTGAATAATATTGGAACTGCAGCAGGGTCATTCTAAGAGGAATTTAAACTAGGGATTAATGAATTCCTTATTCATTAGTAGAGAAACAGCAACATTTTAAAAAATCCCTTTAAAACTTAAGCATTTTTTAATTTTGGAAAGCAGGATATACAAATATAAAGAACCCTAGTACACTGCTGGTAGGAAGGCAGACAGGTACAGCCACTATGGAAAACAGTGTGGACTTTACTCAAAAAATTAAAAATGGAACTGCCATTTGATCCAGTGATCCCACTGCTAGGATTATAGTCTAAGAAGCCTGAAACACCAATCAGAAAGAATATATGTACTCCTGTGTTTATGGCAGTGTTATTTACGATAGCTAAGCTCTGGAAACAGCCCAAGTGCCCAACAGTAGATGAATGAATTAAAGAACTATGGTATATTTATGCAATGGTATACTATGCATCTGTAAAAAGGAAAGATCTCTTAATATTTGAGACAGCATGGAGGGACCTGGAGAGTATTATGCTAAGTGACATAAGCCAGTGAGAGAAAGATGAGTATCACATAATGTCATTTATATGTGGACTCTAATGAACAAAATAAACTGATGAGCAAAATAGAGCCAGAGACACTGAAGCATGCAACAGACTGATGTATACCAGAGGGAAGGGAGGGGGTGGGAAGAGAATAACCAAAGAACTTATATGCATATATGCATAACCCATGGACATAGACAATAGTGTGGTGAAAGCCTGGGGAGGGGGTGGTAGTAGGCTGGAGGGGGTCAATTAGGATAAAAGGGGACCATCCTATATAATAAAAGCCTAATATGCTAAGTGCCCGACTGTCAGTTCGACCAGTCACTATGACACGCACTGACCACCAGGGGGCAGACCCTCCGAACAATAGGTTAGCTTGCTGCTGGGGTCTGGGTGAGATGGGCTGGACACACTGTGGCGTTTTTCCGCGGTCCCTCTTTGGCCCCGAGTGCACTGGTACAAATTTGTGCACTGGTGGGGTCCCTCGGCCTGGCCTGTGCCTTCGCAATCTGGAACCCCTCGGGGGATGTTGGAAAGCCAGTTTCTGCCTGATCCCCACAGACCAGGCCTAGGGACCCCACTGGTGTAATAATCCATGCACTGGGCCAGTTTTGGCCCAATCTTCAGGCCAGCCCAAGGGACCCCACCAGTGCACAAATCTACGCCAGGCCTCTAGTCTATAATACTTTCTACAATAAAGATAAAAGTAACTTGGATATTAATAGCATAACTTTATCTAAGACAAAAGTTACCCTAGGTTTGTTTTTCTCTAAAATACCAAACACCCATTAAGACATTTATAAGTGCTGATTTCCTTTATAAAAAGCATCGCTGAAGGAGGGAAGTTCCTTTAAATGATGAATTAATATGCTGCATTTAAATTACTTTTGACCTATAAAATCTGTTTGTATTTCTTTCAGGAGCATATTTTTATACAAAGCACAATATCTTGATAGGGCCTTTAGGGGAGATAACATCAACCTCATCAGCTTTATGGGTAAAAGAGAAAAGTAAATACCTATTATAATCTTTTTACTATAATAGTTTTGTTGAGATATAATTCATATGCCATACAATTTACCTTTTAAGATGTGCAGTTCAGTGGTTTTAGTATATTCAAGGAATTGCACAACCATTACTATAATCAATTGTAGAATATTTCTTCACTGCACAAGGAAACCCCATACCTTTTATCAGTCACCTCCCCCACTTCAACGCCCCCTAGGTAACCACTGCTTCAATTTCTGTCACTATAGGTTTGCCTATTCTAAAATTTTCATAGAAATGGAAGTGTATACTATGTGGCCTCTTGTGTCTGGCTTCCTTCACTTAGCATAATGCTTTCAAGGATTATCTATGTAGCATGTCAGTACTTCAGTTTTATTACCAAGTAATATTCATTATATGGATATACATTTTATTTATCCATTTGATAAATCATAGTCGTTTGGGTTGTTTCTACTTTTTGGCTATAATGAATAATGCCAACATGAATAATCATGTACATGTTTTTGTGCAACTATATGTTTTCAGATCTCTTTGGTATATACCTAGGTATAGAATACCTTTGTAATAAAATGTTACTAATTTTTTTTTCAGCATTGTGAAATACAAATGTTTTACACATATCCTGACCCCATCCCTGTGGTACATAAAACACCGTATACTGATAATATTATATCCACCATATAATTTTGGAATGTAACATAAAAGGGGTACAGTAGAAAGCCTACTTAGCTTTAAAAAGGAATGTTATGTTACATATTTTGCTAAAATGAAATTTTGATCATATTGTGTCAATGGTTTATAAAAAAATATCGAACGTTAACACTTTACAGTGTTGGCTAACAGTGCACCTTATTCATTTAGGTTATATTTAGTGCTAACAGAATTCCGTCGTGTATGTAATGTCACCTGCTTATTGCTGAGTGGATTGCCATATAAGTTGAGAAACAGCACTGTGAGACTTGAATATTGTAAACCTTATAACAAGCAAAAAGGTTAAGTTTGAATTTGAGGTATTTTGAATACTAAATGCATTAAGAAGAGTCTTTGAGGATCTATTTATAAAGTCATTGATTGCTAAGAACAGTGGCCCTATGTGCATTGGGTAATAGAGCAGGAAGTGGTGCCTTAGCTGTTGCCACCACCACCTCAACCTTACCCTTTCCCCCAACTGCTAGCAGCACCCCCCCTCCACCACACTGCTTCCATCACACTGCCGTTTTCTCTCTTTCTTTCTCTCTCTCTCTTTCATACACACACAGACACACACACTACCACACACAAAAGAGTTGCTGCACCTATCTTATTCCCCTTTCCTCAAACAATTGAGCCCCTTCCCCTAACCCCCTCCACCATCTCCCCATACATACACCGAGTTGCTATCCCCTCACCTCCTTTGCCAGAGCAGAGGAACCCCTCCCCCAACCCTTGCCACCCACAACCTCCCTTCCCCTGCACCCCTGCCAGAGCAACAGAGCAGCCCCTGGCATGTAAGGGTAGCTTTGATTCCCACCTCAAGGGAGGTCCACTAGCTCAACAATAGGAGAACCACTATCTCTACCCTCCCAATTCCTGATGATCCTGCAGTATTGTCAGTGAACTTGGCCAGCCTGGTCCCTAGGTGCAGAACATATTCCAGGAAGTCCGGGCATACTCTGAGAAAAAAATGAATTGTGTTGCTCTTGGGTGGAGTCCATTTTTCCCTCTCACTTCCAACTGGTGCCACGGTTCCTATTCAGAGCCCTCCCTACTCATGGACAAATCTTGATCTCTTTGGGCCTGATGATCTCTGCTGGCCTTACCCTAAAGACTCCTTGAGACACTACTCTACCACAAAAGTCCCAGAGCACCCAGTGGATGGCAGTTGACCTTGAATGTACTTCACAAAGCAAAAAAGATCTCAAACTAACTTTATACTTAAAGGAACTAGAAAAAGAACAACAAAGGCAAAGTTAGTAGAAGGACAGAAGTAAAGATCAGAGTGGAAATAAATGAAAGGGAGTCTAAAAAACAATACAAAAGATCAATGAAACCAAGAACTGATTCTTGACAAGATAAACAAGATTGATAAACCTTTAATCAGA